GACAAAGCCCTGGATATTTCACATAATCACCCAGGCGTGGTGTTCGAGGGCCATTCAAGCTGCTGGGAATCCGTATCGACGGGCAGCTTCTCTTTCTGTGATGCACCGACTCGTCTTTTACTGCGAACGCAACAGGTCCCGGCTCCTCAGCCTTGAATGCAGTGGAAAAGGGAGGCAGTTAAGAGAAAAAGCAATGAACAGAATGAGTAGACTGATAACTAATGCAATGGCAGGTTTCTATCACTCACGAGCAGCGAGCCCTGCTATTTGCTGCACACCATTTCCCCGGTCTCCTTTCTCAATTTCTTCCTCTTCACCGCAACTGTCACATGAAGGTTTAAAATGTGAGTCTGTCTAATGTAAAGGTCTCTCCTGACTAACACTTCTGTCTAGCCAGGATAAACTTTGGGAAATTTTCTGTGAAGTGATCACCACTTTACTTAAAACACTTAACTTTACTCAGCTGAAGGCTGAATCCGTTTTATCCCCCCGGAACATTTTCCCCGGTGGCAGACTCTCCGATCAATAGGCATCCTTCCACACAGTGAAGGATAATGACGAGAATCGTCTCCAATGATTTCTTTGAACATCCAACAACATATTTATCACCTGCATTCCCCGAAACAGTGAAAGTCCTTTGCTCCTCTTTGGTATCGAGTCAGCTAGCAACGTATGAAGTTCATTTTAAAAGTTGTGATGATGGTACGCGTGTTGACACTGTAAATACTGTATTCCTTATTAAAGATTTAAATGTAGGGCTATCGTGGCAGGTTGTCAAACTTTACCAATAAATAGTTTGACATTTTGGGAATTTGCAGTTACACGAGAAGATCGACACTTCTCTTAGCAGCTGGTTAAATTACAGACAACACGTTGCTATCTTGGGGTAGAAAATAATCCTGTTTTGTCAGATGCTACAAGATGTCCTATGGTGCTGTTACCTTAATGCACCAGCCACAGCCACCACAACACAACAGTCCAGTTTTAAAGACCCACAAAGTCAACATTAGGAAGTTGGAAGTTTGGGTCGTCTGCTGTTCCCGTTGGGAGCTTTCTGTTTAACTCTTCAGTCGCTCTTCAGCTGTGTAATGAAAGCTGGATACTTCCTCTAGCTTCTTGGGTTAGAGTTCGCACTGGGTCACTCCACTTCACTTTCCTGTCTAATGTTTGATCCGCAGCTGTCCCAACGTGAATGCAAAACCAAGGGGTCCTATGCTAGTGTCCAAATTTCATGATTACAATTAATTTCCGTCTCACTAACCTCATAAGTCCCAAAGAACAACTCTGTGCATCTGTGAGAAACCAGCAGTTTTAACAAAACAGCAGTATTTGCCCCCTGGGAATGAGAATGGGTTGCTGGCTCGAGCAACAGTACAAACGCGGAAGCGCAGTCAGTCTCTTCATCTAACTAATGGCTGAGAAAGCCATCAAGTGGATGTCTGAAAGTGCCAACCCTTTCCCTTAAGGGTTGCAGCTTCAGCAGCTGAGCACTAGGTGAGCTCTCCAACTTAATACATGAAAATTATTTATTTGGTTTTACACACAAGTGTTTGACCATGTTTAACAGCTACACGGTGGCATAACATGTCTAATTAAGTGGAAGGCATCTGGGTATCTAATTAGAGTCCACTCATTACAGACAGTGGACAGTGCAGTTCGCTCAGCCCATCGCTGCTGCTAATGAAAAACTGATTACTGGGATTTAAGTTGGCTGAAGGCAACACCCAGCTGCTACCACTCTGACTGGAACAGGTTAAGCAAACGGTGGCCAGATGAAAAATCTTTCCTTAATCGCACTCGACAACCGGTGACGACAGCACGAACTCAACATTCCACGTGAGCCCTGTGGCGTCAAACCACTCATTAAAAAAGGCCCGAAACCTTTTCGCCTGCTACCGTTTGTGCTAAATCAATGCCTGAGAAAAAAAGAGGGGGGAAAAAACGATGCTCTGTTGCAGTGACGGACCGTTTCGCAACAATCGCTCGATTTTAACAACTTACACATCATGTGTTTTGTTTTAGAGTAGAAACATGCCTGGAAATACATGAAGTTTGACCGTTTCATTATGGGATTCTTGAAATTTAGGAATGAGGATGACGAAGAAGCATGGTTTAGTAAAAATTAACTGCTTTACTAGTGCTATCATGTTTATATTCATTGTATGGAGTGTACAGCAGTCATTGCTTAATGAGGGCTAGCATGGTTTAACTATTATGCACAAGGTTACACAACTTCAGTTATGAAGAATATGGTGTATGCTTACTTGTGTATGCTTAAATAAAATATCTAATATTTTCAAAATAGAGGTGTGTGTTTGCTCCTTGTTAAAAACCATGAGGACAGCTGGTAATGCACCAGAGAAAAGATGATGATTTCTAAGCTTTAAGAAAATAAAAAATATATATATATATTTCAGCAAGAAAAAAAAGCTTAAATTCAGCAGACTACAACTGACAGGCTTCTCCTACGTTTAAATAAAAATACAGTTTAGTTTCACGGTTGCTGTGGAGGAATCAAAGTTTGACAAAGAGATGTGTCCTGCTGAAAAATGCAGCCGTCAACGTGGTTTTGGGCGAATGCATTTCCCGTCCAGTCAGCAGCTAAGAAAACGTGCATGAATTCGTAATGGCTCAGAAATCAATGAGGCTTTAGCAGCGAAACGACAAATCACTCGAAGCCGACTCGAGTCCAACATTAGACTGCATTTGCTTTCGCATGTATCAATACGAGAGCGACCGCCGGCTCGACTGTTTGGCTGAGCAGGCGAAACGAGGCGGTGGGATTTTATAGCTGACTCGTTATTTGTAGTCTGTTTTGACAATTCCCAACACAGCTGCAGGAAAACTGTGAGGCACGTCAGGTAAACACAAAGCTGTGTTATTGCCTCCGAAGGAAAGAGGAGAGAGTATAACACACAAAATAAAACACAGCTGGAAGGTGTGGATCAGCGGGCCAAGTGCCCTGCAGTCTGCAGTTTCACGAGGCCTATTCTGACACACACCTACCTACCTTCTGGCTGGCCCGGCGGGGACAGGCTGCCCTACTATCTGCACAGACGGGATTACTTTAACTGCATGCATTATTCGTGGAAAAGACCCCTGCTCCGTGTTTCTGGGCCGCCTGTGTTCACCTGGGCTGTCAGAATAAAACTGACAAAATGCAGCATTATTCACCAAACATTAACACGGGAAGACAACTGTAGTGGGAGCTGAGCATTATTATGATGACTCTCCGACTCTAGGGAGTGGGTTCTCTGCTAAGAGCCGGTGGCACTTACACTTTTCATGCAAGGTTTAATGAGAGCACAGTGCATTGAATCCACCGAGCAGCAAAGAGTACAAAGAGGTCGCTGCTGCTTTACAATAAAAACAACAACAATTTAAACTAATATCTATAATTTAAACACCTTCATGTTTAACCCCAAGTTGTAGTGTGTGGCCAAAGAGGTAATTTGATTAGCAGTTCAAAAGAAAAGGTATGAAATCTCCACCTTCAGGAAGATCCCTCAAACCTCAGGAGAGGTAAACGCTGCTCTATATGAATTAATACAGTACTGCACAAAAGTCTTGAGCCACCATCACTTCTTTGTTTTGATTCCAAGCAGTCAGACTTCCTAAGAGTTTTTTTTAAGGTGGCTTTGAGGAATAGTTCTCCAGCTTTCTGCAGGTCTTTCAAAGTGTGGACACTGGCTGCTTTTTCAACCATTTTCAGTCCAGACCCTGTACCTGAGCATTTTCAAATGATTATTTGTTTGCTTGTTTGTTAAGCTGCTTAAAACTAAACTATGACTCACTCAAGGAAAAAAAAAAGGGGGGTAACGTAAGAGACTATTTTTAATTGTATCTTTAGGCACCTTGGTAGTAGCAGTCTGTTGCAGAAACTTGTCATTTGTTCCCACCACAATACCATCTGGAAAGCATTTGATTGGCAAAGCTTCATGTTTCCAACATGATAACGATCCCAAACACTTCCAGTCCAGTAAAAGCAGACCTGGACAGAAAAATACACAATGAAACACTACCAGTCAACAACTGGCCTGCCCAGAGCCTGGACCTCAACATCACTGAAGCAGTGTGGGATCCTCGAAACACAGCCAACATCCAAAGGAGAGCTCTGAATGTCCTCAGAGAAGCCTGGAGAACCATTCCTGAAGACTACTCAATGAAATTATAAGAAAGCTGCCGAGAAGAGTTCAGACTGTGTTGAATAAAAAGGTGGTGATACCAAATAGTGACTTTCAAGCTTGTTAGAGTTGTACAGACTTGCTTTGCATGCTGCAGTTCTATGTTTGCTCATCTGTCAATACATTGCTGTACCTCTTTCCCATTTTCATAGCAAATATAAAAATAGAAATACCCAAATATTTTGTTTTGTTGTTAAATGAGGAGTGGCTCAAGACTTTTGCACAATAGTGCATCTGATCCTAAACAGTCAATGAGACATTTTTGTCCTTTTTGCCTTTATATCAAATTTGCACAGTAGACTAAGCTTACGTTTGAATTCTATTTTTACATTATTTTCTTACTCTCACACTGTTGAACAGCCGGTGCTCCAGCTGAAGGATTGAAAATTAAAACTGTCTTACGCACATCTAAACACTAATTTAATGAAACCCGACTCCGACATGCTGCGATACTGAGAGGTCCGTTACCTTACACACTGCAGGCTTTTCTCCACAGCTTCAAACTTAATAAAATTAGAACTTTATCAATTCAGACATACTTTTCCAGTCTTCCTGCCAACGCACTTTTAGGTGAATATGCTTGGAGTTGGATTAACAAACCCCAGGTTGAGCTGAAAAGCTCACCCTGATTGCTGATGTTTAAGTAAGTGAAGTCAGACATGGAAGAGATGTGCTGGATATCCTGAGCTTGTGTCACAGTGCAGGAAAAAACCCCAAACACTGAGAAACCCCAAACATCACTTTCAGCTGATGCCTTTAAAAGAAAGCACAAAGGACATTTGTTTAGGCCACAATCCTAATAAACAGGCACGATTATGAAAAAAAGAAATTGCACTGAGAACTGTTTTATTCCCAGAGAGAGTATTATAATTCAGGACACAATCAGACACATTTACACCACCGGTAATGTTGGACGAAGATGAAACAGCTGGTATGTGGGTGAACTGACCTGGCAGGTATGACATAACAGCCTGCCTCCATATCAAACTCAAAAGTGCGTCAGTAAGTGTGCCGCAAACAGCTGCTTGCAAATCCTGATGATAGCGAGCACATGTTTCAACACATTACAGAGTTTTCAACCATTTAAAAAGACATTTCACGTGCCTGAAAAGTTTTCCTGCTTCTTCCCCATATCAAAATATGACAAATCCCTGATAACCTGTGATGTACTGATCCAACTTTCTCAGTCAGATAGATACCTTGGCTGTGAGTATCTGTTAGCCATCAGCATTTCTCACTGTGACGATGAGGCTTGAACATCGTTTTCAAAATTGTAGATGACTGTGGAATTGCCATTAGCCACGCTTTTCAGACGTCAAAACAAATCAACACTTAATTAAAAATAACCAACAATCTAGAAAAAAAGAACTTGTTAGTGTATCAAGCAGGATATTATGTGACAGCTCGTAGGATAGTGAAGAATTTAGCAGGACAGATGGGCCCGATGTCACTTGGAAGGATGCAAGTACTGGATCGGCACACACCACATTGAAACATGCACCAATTTTTAAATAAAAGACAAACGTAGAATCTAAAGAAAGAAAGAAAAAGCAAAAGTGCAACAACAAAACAGACAAACCAGGCAACCAAATACAAATTCACCCAAGAAACAGAAAAAGTGCAAATATTTGACACAAGGAAAAACGAGCCCCTTCCAGACACACACCTTCCTCCTCAGTAACCCCACTGCCCGATCCACACAGCTGCACTGTACCAGAGGCCCTGCACTTGTATGAATACACGAATTACCAATAACACGTACATATTTTCTTTTCAGTTATTAAAACATTATTTTTATCGAGAGGAGGGGTCTCTTTGTGTGTGAGGGGCAGAGTACAGCTCTCTCAGCAGCACTCTGCACCTTCTTATCGACATCAGTGGAGAGAGCTAAATATTTAAAGCGTGGCTACACTTCACTACAGCTACAGCGCTTGTGCGTGCTGTGCCTCTCTCCATGACGTCTGAATGTTGCCAGCAGCGAGGTTATGCATGTCTGAAAAGGGCCGTATTACACCATAACAGTAAAGGGTTTTTTCACACAGTGTTTCTTGCTCAGACATTTTAGAGTCGAGGACAGTGGTATCTTTCAAACAGTTTAGGAACTTTTGAAAAGCGTTCGTGTGAGCCATAGTTCTTGCGTTGCCATTCTCGGAGCGTCATCTCTGGCTTTGTACCAAAGCGACTCTGGTAATTTCTGAAATTAAGCAGATTCAGATGGAGATTATTACAACTTTAAATAAAGCTAAACTAAAACTAGATATAAAACATGACATTATGTGCTTGTAAAACTAAATTTAGAGGATATTTTCATTTAATCTTTGACAAATCTGACAAAACAGTCAGGAAGCATTTGATGAACTTCACTAAGATAGTCTGAGACGACTGAACAAAGCCAGACAACTAAAACTAAACTTGATTTTTTACAAAAAGACAAATAAAACTCAGACTCGTTTATTCTGAATCCACAAAAAAAAAAAAAAATCCAAAAAGGTGGCGTACCGGCGGGTGAAGTCGGAGGGGTGCTGCCACCGTTTCCCATCCTTGCCCGCTTTCTCACCAGCAACACGGTTCATCACGCTCAGCAGCTCAGACATGACACCTGAAGGAGGCACAGATGTTAGAACATCAAAACTGAAGGTCATACGTGACTGAAGGGAAGAGTCATGACACAGAGGGGGGGAAATAAAACCCCACAACACAAGGTTCCAAGTGAGAGACGTTTACACGTTAACCTGCATCTATAAAATAATTACTTTTACGGTCATTACTTACAGTAAAAGTAACTGTATTACTTAGTTATTACTTTCTGTACCACTAACTGCTTATTTAATCAATTAAAAGTCGCCAAAGCTCTTTGGACTCAGTAGCCGTGGAGCTCTAAAACTCCATTGCCATTAACATCAGCACTAAAACTGTGCACCGCGAGCTCCATGGCATCGGTTTCCATGGCCGAGCAGCTCCTGTAGGTGTAACGTGTAGGTGGCCCAGTACTTAGTAATAATTTCACAGATTTATTTATTCTAACTAAAGCTTTGAAATAAATCATACCGGTAACACTACATGCTGGTTGGATTTAAGACAGACCCCTGCATGCAGTAGCTGACAATCGACCTGCAGCAAAGTTTACACACACAAAAAAAAAAAAAAAAAAAAAACTGCCACCAAGCTTAAAGGTCAAGACAGTTTTTTTTTTATTTCTGTGTGGAGGCGAACAGAATCACTTTCCTTCACCTTTAAGTTTGTTTATCGTGTGATCTGATAAAGCACTCTTACTGGCATTTTACCTGCAAAGGTTTGGATAGATTACAGAAACAACCGTGGCTGCTGTCAACTGTAGAAAAATGTTTTCTTTCTCTTCGGCGCGCTGTGTGTGGAGTCAGAGAGGCTCCGCCATAAACAACTACAGCGCCATCCTTGCTGCTGCTGCGTCATCAACTTTCATGTCGGCTAAAAGTGAAGCTGCTCAGGCTGAATCTCAGAATCACTTTTTACAGCCAACACACGTCTACATTTTAGTTGCAAACTCGAGGTAAATGTTAAATGCGTCCTTTACTGTGAAAACATAATCCTTACTTCAGCTAGTTTTCTTCACATGTGACTCAGTAATGGTAGAAACTTCATCTCTGGCTCGTAAGGGCTGACCAATCAGCTTGCCTGACATACGTCTTTGTTGCATTTTCATTACTAGCCATCAGTGCAACATCCTGCAATTACCAGAACCCTGCACACATATTCTTGGCCTATCAATCAAATTCCTTTCACTTCGCTATGTGGCAAACTGAAACGATTTCATGAGAGTAGCATTTAATGTTTAAATGGATCCAGCTTAAAGTTTCAGTTCTAATGTACAGCCATCAGCTGAGGAAAACAACAGCACTGAGAGCGCACTCAATAATAAAATAATTAACTAGAATTTAAAAAAAAATGATCATTTCCTGCTCTGTGCATCACATCACCATATTAACGATGTACTGCAGCATTCATCTCCGGTGCCTTCTACAAGAATGTTGCCTTTTACTTTTTACTTTTGAAGCCTTCGTAGATTTTTAACAACCATCTGATAACATTTCTGGAGTAGGTGGCACTCGCAGGGATCGTTTTTTTGTAGAATAAGTCATGATCTGTGAAACACCAAAGATGTCATATTCATGTCGGGTATGTAGACGGAGATTCGTAATTCGGGGCCCAGGCCAAGTCCGATCCAGGTTAAAGGTTACTTTGTCAGAAAGCGAAACAATGTTTTCAATTTGTACCTTATCCTTGAATTCATGAGCACATACTCACAGCACAGCACACGTAAAGCATCAGCTACAATCAGGCTCAACAGAGGACTACTGAAAAATCATTTAGGGAGTCATTGCCATGATGTCTGCCACCATTTCACGCATGTTTCCATAAATATCATAGTAAAAAA